GAAACATTGTACATTTGCTGTTATGTTAAACTTATATTAAAGTTTTTCTTCATTACCCACTCAAGCCGTCTCCAGCCATTATGTAAAGATCTGACACATTATAAATTGAAACATCTTTATTGTAATTTTCCTGGTTGCAGAAGAAACGCTACAACCGAGGAAAATGTCTGAGAGGTAATGAGTTGCAACTAATATTTTTCGTAACATGTTTCCCCAGCTATACAATATATCGGTGCCAGTAATGCATACACTGATACTAGTCAATAATTTGTTTTTCATGGTTGTATTCTTTCCCCAGTGCAAAATAGTCAGTGATAAATGGCTGCATCGATTCATGTTGCCTTTATCCACATGCAATAATAGCAATTATTACAGCTTTCTCTTCTGAAAAAGTGAAGTTTATTGGGTATTTTTAATTTGTATCTAGTTTTAGAAGTATGATAAACAGAACTCAATAGTACATGTTGTGCAGTATATCAGTCAGTAGTAGTTTGACCCATAATTAGTGTTAGTAAACAAATAAACATGATCTAGTGATTGAGTCAGTGAACTGGTAATTCTTTGGAGACTTACATTTCAGAGAGAAGTTGGAGTGCGAAATCATGAACGTTTTAGTACCGGAGACTGCTGTTTATTTAATTTAAGGTGAGTAACTTTATGTGCACAGGTAGGGGGTCCAAGTGTGCATTCCAGGACTTTTTACAGGGTGTCATTCAACATAGTATTATATATTTAATGTCAGAGTTATAAAGTATTTATTTGACCATAGATTGCTGATGTAGGAACATTTCGTGATAGAGGAGAGTAACTATCAGATACCATATACATGGATACTGAAATAACCTGTAGATAAGCATATCGGAGGTTCTAAAGGTTATGTAAGTGTAATATGCAAATATTATAATGGACAAAAGCATTTTTATTCTTCACATGAAATCACTTTACATTCAAGAATCTGAGTTAGACAGATGTCATCAATTCAATTACTTCTCCAATACAAACTAGGTCCATTAACCCATGTACATTGGGTTAATCAATACTTGTGTAATGCCTGTAAATTTATGACGGAATTTGTTTATTATGGTGTTAATTGATTTTAATGTATTGTACTATTATATAAATATATAACAATCTACATGGATTTTGTTTTTCAGAATTATATAAGGAAAGTGTGAAAATATAAAACGACAAATTCATACAGCTGTAAAAGAGTGAAAATTTGACCTAGATAATCTGTATGAAGAAGATTATAATACTTGATTTTATTTGTGTGTATGTTGCACAGTATAGTTCACTCTTTAGCTTTGTGTTGAGTTAGCTCCAAAACGTTTTTTCTTTAATGCTTATTGCACCTATATTAACATAGGCTTGTCAAATATTTTAGGTTACTTCCTAACAAAATGAAAATAGTGGATAAATACCACAGTAAAGCATTTTGTGGCATGTTTACCAGAAATGGGGATTTGTTCATGTCAGCTTCTCAAGGTATGTTTTTGAAAGGATTTTGGTTTGGACTCTTCATTGATATATATAAAAAGTCTTCACTAGGGTTTCTTAAATATATAGCAGAGGATCAAACAATAATTAATTTTTGATCTCTCTTTTTTTTTTATATTAATGTGTTTAAAAAACTCAAATGTGTAATGTCTAGGTTTACTCCCTAAATAAATAAATAAATATATGTATGTATATATAGCATGAAGTAGTGTAGTATATATTTTATTTATATTTATAAATTTAGGTTTTTTTTAAGTTTACAGCTCAACACACTTGTTAAATTATGAATATCAACACATTAGATCTAATTACAAATATGTGGAAAAGCTATTTATATGAGTAAAGATGTCCTGTGTCATTCATATAAACATGCATTTAATGGATTCTGTACTAATCAATGAATTATTCACTATTCTATTTTACATATGAAATTATCTACATTTTCTGGCAATAGATTAGTTATTTCAATACTCTAATTTAAATGTATAGGATGGCCATGATATTATAGCTGAGAAACAGTGAATATTGTGGAAAATGATGTTCAGCATATGGAAGACAAAATGAGGCAATATAAAGAAATGAATAAATGTTGCCATCAGGGTGCATAATTATAACTATAAATGTTGAAGTAAGCTGAAATCACTTGGATGATGGATACAAGAAATGTGGCTAAGACTACAAGAGAAAGCAGATTTCAGCCCAGCAGATATCAGGTTACGGGATCACTTCAGGATGCAATTCAACAAGCAGATGCTTGTATTCCTTGGAACATAAGGCAGTCTGGTGTTCTTACATTAATCTTTTTCAGCTGGATGTTGTAGTTGAGGATAGATTGAATAGATCCTACAGAAATATGTCTCTGATGGCAATGTTTTATTGGCTGATTTTGGCTATCTTAATTGGAATACTACGTACAGTTTGTTCTCCTCTTCTAAGAATCCTATTGACTTACTGGAAAGGACTCAGAAGAAGGATACTAGGATAGAAGACTGTATGTGGGACCAATGAAAAAAAATCCTCCGATTTCTTTTGCTGTATTCTGAAGGTAATAAAATGAGAGGACACAAGTTTCATTTTTGGAAAAGACAGGTTAACCTCCAGTTAAGACAGTTTCATTTTTCTAACATAATGATAAACTTGTGGAATAAGTTGTCTTCAGCTGTAGTTGAGGCCATAACTTTACTGGAGTTTAAAATGAGAATTTATGATTTCCTGAAAAACGAAGAGTGGATTCAAATTTTTACTTGTTTCAAGGGCTGGTATGCAAGGATAGCTTTGAAGGACCAAATAGCTTTTCCTTATTGCCTGTATGTTATGTTATGATATTCCTCAATTTTCCAATTCGTACATTTCCTGACTGTGGCACTGCATAGAGTCAAAGAACTTTATAGCCATCCTGTTTATTAGCTAACTTCACTCGTAAATGTCTCTTTCAAGAACTTTCTAATAATCCAAACTTATTGCTTCGTAAGAATATAATAGTGACAATGAGTATAATATTTCTTCTCAAACAGATGGTAATATTAGAATATACGATACAAGTAATGGGTACTTCAAGTTAAAGAAGGTTGTCCCAGCTCAAGATGTTGGATGGAGTGTATTAGACACCGCTGTTAGGTAAGAATGTCTTCACTGTTTAGTGCCATGACTAAGTGCTAGCTAGCAGTAATTCTATTAATTTAAACAACTAGTTATTTTGTAGTTATTGTTGGTATCAAATATGTGTTTTAGGTGCTGGTGCTAGCAGTTATTATTAACTAACTATATGGTAGTGTATGCAATGTGTTTTTGATAGTAATTATTATATTGTATTTGCTGAAAGTATTTGTTAACATCATAGAGATTTATGAATGCAAAACTGTTTATTTTGCGAACATAAAAAAAAAAATAATATTCTTAACTGACTTTGTTTTTCCTACCACCTTTAGCCCAGATGGACAACACTTCATCTACTCAAGCTGGTCAGAATACAGTAAGTTTAATTTTATTCTATATAAATATGACTTCCAAATTCGATTGATATTAAGAGATAAAAAAAAGAAAATTGAATTAATAGTTATATTCAATTTCATAAAATAACTATTGTGCATATTGTACTAAAAATAGAAATTAAAAGTGACTATAGATTGTTACTTTTGCAAACTACCCACTAGTGGCTGTATGTTTCAAGAAAAATATTTGTGTGTATTTTATGTTTTTCAGTTCACATATGTAACATACATGGAGAACATGAGACACATGAAGCTCTAGTTTTGTCACCAGAAGATCGTCGATTCTGTATATTTTCTCTACGCTTTTCCCAAGATGGTAGAGAGATTCTTGGAGGGTAAGCAATGCATTCTTTGTATAAAAGGATGTACCATTTTTTTATATAACTGTAAAGAATGGTGGTCTATGTTTTCATCAGTATCTAATAGCAAGTCATTTTTAATTTATTTTCAGAGCCAATGATGAATGTATATATGTTTATGACCGAGATTTGAATAAAAGATCATTGAAGGTGAGTTACTTCCTTTTACCAAAAAAAAATGTTGATTGAAGTGACATCATACATAATTTTTAAAATTTAATATACAAGATGGTTTGCAGTTTATTTGAACTTGTTGGATAATTCTGGTAGACAACATAATGAAATAAGTATGTGTGATGAATAATTAATTGACCTATTACTTAGTTTGGTGAAAAACCTAGTTTAAAGTAACTGGAAATAAATGCTATGTAGTCTTATATCATCACTTTTCATTACGGTAAGTCACATTAACTGACTTTGTAGGATATTTACCAGAGAAAGTTATTCTTTTGTGATGATAATTACCCTGCTTGTAGGTTGTTTAAAAGAAGAGGAATTTTTCTCCTGCCATGATTTGTGATAAATTGTTTAAACTTAACTTTTTTTATGTTAGATCAGGTCCCACGAAGATGATGTCAACACGGTTGCATTTGCGGATGCCACGTCACACATTCTGTTCAGCGGTGGAGATGATGGATTATGCAAGGTATGGTTAGTGAAACTCTGTTTTAATGTATAATTAAAAACATTTTCTAATGAATAATTGTTAAGTAGGTGAAAATATAATCTACAGAATAATTTTTAGTGGATCGCTTCTTGAGAAGTAATAAAATAATTGTTGGCTTAATTATTTTGAACAGGTTTTAGTTGGGTTTTTGGTAGTCTGCACAGCTAGAAATGTAAATATGTCATTTAATCTATTAAACTTTTTCTTTTTTTCAGATTTTATGTCTCTAAACCTAACTATTCATACATATATGTATTCATTTATCTATAAAACCAAAACACACAAGTTTCCATCTGTGAATACAAATAACATAACATTTCTCTATCTGTGCATTGTTATATGTATGAATGTGTTGTGTGTGTGTATGGTCTTTATTGATATTTATTGTAATTTGAATGATAAGAGAATTTTGTATGTGGTATATAAAGTTACTGTTAAATATATATATGTGTGTGTGTGTGTGTGTGTGAAAGAGAGAGAGAGAGAGAAAGAGATTTAAAATTAAGTATAGCTTCAGATGAAGTATTAACTGATCTTATTTAAAATCTGACAAGATACATAATGTTTTTCTATTTATATAGGAATCAGAGAATTGCTTAACGTTTTGTCAGTGATCAATCCTTGAAGGTATCTATGAACCAAAGAAATTTTGTAAAAGAAGTGTTTCTTGGGTCAGATGTTACTTGTTTATGAACAAATTCAATGAAAAATGTAATTGGATATTCTTTTAATAATTTGGGGAGGGAGGAGGGTATTCACCCTAGGTAGGAATAACAGTCAACAATGAGTTACCTGGATATTAAACATATACTCTTGTGGATATGTGGATAGGTCTTATGTTTATGTAAACCTGCTCCTTAGTAATAAACTTAGATAATAAAAACCTTTTTCCAATGCTTTTACCATATGCAAAATCTAATGAACATTTCATCATTGTATTTTGATCTGAAGAATTTCCTTGTTTTGATTTACAAAGATAATACATTTTCTTCTCTTCTTGTGCTCTGCACATCTCACCGTCAAATGTCTTTGCAATGGCCACCTCTTCTTTTAAATCTATCACTTTCGCTACACCAAACCATCCTACTTTTGACAACACTTAACTGCACAACCAACCACATAAACATCAGTGACTATTTATAGGCTGTCTACCTATCCATTCAACAAGAACATCATGATTACCACACGTCCCTTAACAGTATATTAAGTCACTTAGCTGCCTTTCACAATCTGTCATTATCATCCGGATACTGGCCGTCAATCTGGAAATCGGCAATTATAAAAATTATTCCCAAAAAAGACGCGACCCTCTGCCTACTGAAAAACTACAGGACAGTAAGCCTACCCAACATACTAGGTAAGCTTATGAAAAAAATTTTATCCAATAGACTTATCCACTATTTAGAAAGCAACAACATCCAAAATGCCAGCAGAAATGCAGACAAACAACAGACACTTAGTAAGGCTAGTTGATCTATCTATCAAGTCTTCATTTGCAATCATTCAACTTTGGCAACTTTTTTGATGTAAAACAGGCTTTTGACAAAGTGTGCCATAATACTTTTAAATATAAACTAAATTCACACAAGGTTCCCATTCCCATCACCGAGTGCTATCTAGTTTTATTACAAATAGAATAGCTAAAGTAAAAGTCAATAATACCACATCTAATGCATTTCCCTTAAAAGCAGAAGTCCCTCAGGGTTCTGTCCTTAGCCTGCTGTTGTACATTCTCTTTGTCAGTGGTATACTGCTCCCACAGTTAATATATATACCCTCATTTCCCAGTATGCCAGGTAAATTATTTGACACCTGGATCATGAAAGCATGTTTCCAAAAACATCTTGGGCATTGGGTAATTATATCCCTACCTCCCTGAAAAGGACCATCTACCAGTAAGTCCTTTTGACTCTTTTGGCTTAATTTTCCTTCAAAATTTTAGTTTATAATCATAAAATCATGTTTCATGTTTAAACAATCTCATCAAGAAAACCTGGAACTTTTGTGCTTGGTCCCACCTTTCACTGCTTCTCTCACTATCACTCCTGATTGATGTCATTGCCACATGGTATCAACAATGGCATGTACTCCACCTCGGCCTGGAAAAGGCATCTCCTCTGCTTTCTCCATCGACTTGAGGTTGTATCTGCCTCGACTCTACACACCTCACTCAACGAGGTTCACTAAACCTTTTAAACTCAAAAGCTAAATCATTTCATTCCATTGTGGTTAGTACTGTAAACAGTCATGTGCGGGGTGAAGAGAAACCAAAGTTTCTGAATATCCAGGGTTATCTTTCAGACACCAATTCCCTTGGAGCCTGAAAGTTTAAAACCTAAATTCCTGCCAAGTATTTTGGTTTGGTTTGGAGTGAAGTAAGAATTTTTATTTAAATATTTAACGTTAACATTTTTGGAGTGGAAGCCGTTTACTTGCATGCTTTGTCTTATGTATGCTCTACTAACCAATTTTAGGCTATAGGTTTATAATTTCACCCACATAAAATGAATATGTACAAGTTCTATTATTGCATTATAAAAACCCTTTTAAGTATTTGGATTGTTTCAGTAGACTGGGAAACAACTATTTTCATGATTTAATAGTAGAATTTGTTAACATCCACTTGTGCAATATAGATGTATATAAAAAAATATATATATATGTATATTGAATATATTCTACAGGTGTGGGATCGACGAACCCTGAATGAGGATTGCCCTCGACCAGTTGGAATTTTAGCCGGCCATATAGATGGAATAACTTACGTAGATCCCAAGGTTCAAAATTTTTTAAATTTCCTTTACCACTATATTATATTGACTTATTTGTTTAGTCTTGTAGGTCTTGAAATTTATTTGATTAGACCAACTTTGTTTTTGGTTATGCAATGATTTCAGTCGGTCAAAAAGCTAACATTTTTTACTGTGAGTTCATTACATAGAAATATGATTTGTAATGACAGCCAAATAGATAATTAGTAAAATTTTAATATTCATAAATTTTCACATCAGCATAATAAAATGAAGCTGTAGTCAACTAAAATTAGTTTTAGTCTACAGGATTTGAAATGTTTTTTATGAAACATTTTGCTTCATTTGTTTCAATATGTTCTTCACTTTATTTCTTTTAATCTAGAAAATAGCAGATATTGGATAATTTGTAGGTTCAGGACCAATCTTTTCATCTTTTAGCAGCAGTTATGCTATTCATTAAGCATTGTGATTAATTTTACCAAAGCTTTATCAAGATTTGGATTTTTGGTGCATTTAACTCTTCTGACACGGGGTTGGTCAATTTGACTGAGTCACGTGACCTTCTGTACTTGTTTAAAGTTGATGTAAATTTAATATTTATAACTCTCTATATATTGGGGATATCTTCACGAAGTTTGGCAGTCTTTCACATACAAAATGTCATATTTCTTAGGGAAGTACTTTTAATATAATAAAATAAAGTTTTATCCATAAATATATTGAGTATTTGTTTTGAATAGTCCATGTGCAAAGTAATTTGCATGTTAAAATTAAAAATACTTTTTGTCATCTCAAAAAATCTCAAATTTCCTTTGTGTAATCCCTAAAACGTCCTAAATGCATTTAAAACCTTTTTTTTCACAAAATTGTTATAATTCATCTGTTATTTTCTTTACCCTAATCTCAAAACTGGATCGGTCAATTCGACCGACCTCGTAACCCCCCCAAAAAAATCGAAATAAACCTAAATTAACCTTCTTTTCTTTCTAGGATGACTTCAAATTGTAACATGAAACTACATTCATTTATCCTAAGTAGCTCTAAGTTCGTAACTTTATACATCTATTTATAATTAAATTTTATCGTTTTATTGCCCTTTGAACTGTGTCTAACTGCTAACCGCTCCATTATAAGTTGTAAATCACTCGGGGAACGTGCAGCTCATGTTACGCTATCGAATTACATTACCCACGAGCTGCTCGCGTGCCTGCTTCATGAACAATTTTAATTATACTATTATTATTATTACTTATTTTACCTATTCTAGTCTTAAATAACTTAAAAAGATCCATACTTTTAATTTTATTTACTTTTATAATAATAAATAAACAAGAAATAAGTACTTACCCAGTTTTCTTTTTTCTTGCCCTTAATTGTTGAGGAGAGTTAAGCCTGATTTTTTTTTTTTTTAGTTGATTATAGTAAAGCACTTAACAGTTTTTATTTAATTAAATAATACACCAAAGAATATAGAGTAATAACATGCAAAAAGTAGACAAATTCACTTCTAAAAATTTTCCTGGCTTTCTAACAAGAGCTGTTACAAATTCATCCAAGCTAGTCCTTACCTTTCCCTAGGGAATGAAGCCTGTAATACAAGTGAAATTGACAATTATCTATTCAGAACACAACATAATATAATACATCATTTAATAGATGAAAACCTTGGCTTTCTATTGGTTATAGGTAATGTATAATTAAATGTAAGAGAGAACTATTAACAAATCCCAAAAAGGAGGATGTGATAGGAGGGGTCTGATTTTCTCTTTGATAGCTCTGTAACCAAACAAAATTGAAGACTTTAAAAATTATGGTCTGTTTGAGTAATAATGATTTTATAGAGAGCATTTTACGTTTAATTTCATACATTTTCGAGGGATAAAATAGGAATGATAACATGCTAAGACAAAATGTGTTATGTGTGTTACACTAGTGGAAATTCAGGATTTTTTTATATATATTTCCTTTTAGAACTAAGAACTTAAAACTTGTATACTATTAAAATATGGATTATTAGCTAAGATTTTGCTATTCTAATTAGTATAACATAAACAAAAAGTAGTTTAATAAAATTTTGAATGTAAAACACTAAAACCTTGTGTCATGCGCAGTAAAGGGTACCAAGGCCGATAGGATTAAGACACCAAAAAGTAAATACATTGGTTAATGTAATTTGGTTAAATTTCTTACAAACTATAACAACTTCTGATTTGTCTTTTTAAAACATTGCTACAATATAGTAACAAATGCAGTTACTTTTATTTTAGTGTTGTTTTTAACAATTGTTCATATAGGGAGATGGTCGACATTTAATTACAAACTCAAAGGATCAGACTATCAAGTTGTGGGATATGAGAGCTTTCTCTTCTCAAGAAGCTGCGAAGGTAAAGTATTCAGCTTGAATATCCAAATATTCCAGAAATATGGAGTAAGGTGATTTTTCTTCAGGTTGGCTTCAAAATTTGTCTATATATGTAAGTTATAAGTGACTTTTATTAAGTTGTTCTTACTGAGTCACTTATCTGCTCTTTCCAAAATAACTAGCACTTGAGGTGAAACTAGCATGTTAATTCGTAATTTAGATACATGTTAAAAATTTAACCAAAAAAAAGAGAATATGATTTTTATGTGAATATAAAATAGAAGTACCCATGAGAACTATAAATACTGTGAATGTATATTTTTATTTTTGAAACAGTAAAAGTTGTCTTGGAACTAAAGCATGTATAGATTTTTTCACTGAAATATTAACAGCTGATATTGACATTTATACTATGAATAAACTTGCCAGAGGCTTTATTAAGTTGAAGTATACCATTCATCATGTGCAGAGTAGAGATCTTAATTTGATTTTCCATACCAGATCCATTGTACTATTGGCTTTTTGTGTTATTACAATAGAAAAAATCTCTCTTAACCATTTATTTACTGAAACGAAGGCAGTTTTCTTGTTTTGTGGCATGCGTCACTTGATTATAAAGTTGTACAAAAAAAATGGTACTTATTATCAACCAATCAAGTAAATGTGTATTTCAGTAATAGTTTCATTTTCTTAACCTGGCTCATTTTTTAAGGAAATGTACCCTTATGTTTTATTGCACTTGAATATTTTTTTATATATAGATATCTGGTACTTTAAAAGGTAGACAACATGTGACTAATAAAATATGTTAGTTTGGCAAATTTACCAGTATTATTTCATCTAAATATAGTACTTATTTACATTTGATGGAACAACAATTGATAGCACAGATGATTTATCTCCATTAAAATATGTACTACTAATTTAAAGATAAAATATGAGATATATAGCTTATTGGTAAATCAAATAAGATTTGTATCTACTATATTATTCCGAGTCATATATTGGTTAAACAATGTGCATTTAAATGACTGGTTTGGTAATCAACTTCACAGTAAAAATATTTAAGCATTTAAAAAAATAGCTTGGGTAGAAAGTTGTTTTCTATATTCTCTCAAATTACTGTAAAGGCAATTAAGATTTTTAATTAGAGAATACCAAGGTGTGTGTGTGTATATATATACCTACATGTTTGAAAGTTTTCTTCCTAAAAATGAGAATAGTACTATTATCATACTGCATTTACCTACCTATATATTTAAACAAAGTTCGTAGTTCAGTATAAAATTTATTTGAACCATAATGTGTCATTTAACATGATAAAACCCTACCTTTACAAGAGTGTAATTATTTAATTTTTTTTTACTTCATATAGATTACGCAATTTTCTTAGTAATATTTTTTTGTTTTTCCAAGATCCCAAATACATTTAGATTGAGTATAAATAGCCTTTGGGCTGTATGCTTTTATTTGTAAGCATCAGATGTTTCTAACAATTGTTTCAGCATTGTATGTTTATATCTCAACACTATGAACATACACAATCAAATTAGCATACCTGAGTACGAACTGTGGCAACAAGTTAGAGGTTAGATAAATTTGGGAGAAGAACTATAAAATGGATAATAGTTATATGTTTGTTATTGATTAGAGAAATTGTTATGGAAGTAAGTTTTGAGTTAATCAGGTAAAACAGAAAGGAAGATATATTATAAATCAGATAAAAGTAAATAACAGATGTGTTTCTAACATAGATGAAATATAGCTTATGTTAAATAAAAAGCAATTTTTTATAGGCTAAATTAGAATATGAGAGTTACTGGGCAAATTTAAATTAAAGAGGCAATATGTAAAAAACAAAATTGACAAATAGTTGCCAGTTGTCATCATATTTCAGGCCTTTGGGTTCAGTAGGAGATATCCAGCTAAGTTATGCGACTATAAACAGTTTGATAACAGATACGTAAAAGCATTTTATTGGTCAGATAAGAGCTATGATAGAGGATACATCATTAAGTTATTAGGTAAGATATAAGCAACTGAAATATTAGTCGAGACAAAAAATGTGAAAGTGAAGTTGGTAAATGAATTTTATTTAAGCTTTTATAAAATATAAGTTGAAAATTAGTTCAAATTAAAAAATATTCATACATTGTGAAATTATACTTTAATGTTCACTCAACAACAAATTCTAAGTAATATTAAGTAAAAATAAAACCATTTCTCATTATGGAAAAACAAAACTGAACTCAAATCAGTTTTCATGCAGAAACTTTCTTTGCTGAATCCACCAATAGATCACACTAAGACATAGCAATAAGAGGGTAATCATTACCAATGTACCATTAAGTACAAGTTATAAAACCTTAGAGATTAATAAAGTAAGGTAACCTCTAAGTACTATCCGTGTGTATTTATAAACCAATCAACTATATGACCAAAGCATGCTACCTTGATTGATTGTTTTCTTACAGGCAGCTAGAACTATTGTCTCTTCACAAAACTGGGATTACAGATGGCAGAGAATTCCCAGAAAATGTAAGTAATAACAGCAGTGATAATTCAATAGTGTTTTTTATTATTCAAAATTAATTTCAGAGTTTGTTTTAAGAGTGGCTGAAAAGTAATGCTTGATTAGTTTTATACAGTTTTTCAGTGTTAATTGAATAGTCTTAGCAATTGTATTTTCAGTACATTAGCTTTACATTTCAGATGTAGTTTCATGTAAAGAAAATGTACATAAGATATTAACTGTTTTTAAATCTTAAATTGGCAAACATACTATTGTTGGCTATATTTTTAATCTAAACATTTCTAGAAAGTCATATTGTTGTTTAGCCAGAAGAAAGTTTAATGTACTATAATGGGCATGGCTTTAATGATTAGAATCTTCTTGAAAGGTTAGGAAACTATTTAAACCAATTCAAAAAAGTGAATTAAGCTAAATGAAATTATTGAGTTTGTTAATTTCTGATTTAATCTGTCTGTTTGTTAATTTCAGTCAGTCAGTTAGTTCAGTGCTGTAAATATTGATATTGTGTTTTGACAGAGAAATATTTGTAAGAAATTAGCAAATAAGTGAAATTTCTGTTAAGACATAGTTTATATGTGAAGTTAGGCCTATCAGTGAATATTGCTTACACTAAACATAGAACTTGAAGTTTAAGAATAAAATGTTGTTAAATGTACTAGACTTTGGAACAATGGCATCAAGAGAGAGATTATTTTGGTAAAAAATCACATCAAACCAAGATTTAACTACAAGATGGCTACACATCCTCCAAGAAAGATTGAAAATTTTATGGAAATGATACAACAATGTTGTCTCTTTCCTCTTTAAATTTCTGTCTCTTTCTTCCTAATCTTCGAAAGTTAAAAGAAGATTACAAAGAAAGAGATGAGAAGTTAAGAATGAGACATAGGTTTTATAGAAGAGTTATAACATACTAGAATTATATCGAGAAAACTGTAGAAGATGAATAGACTGAAGTTGACAAAAACCATAGATGTACAGAAGGATTATAACAACAAAATCAATGACAAAAAACCATCTGTACCAGAGTAAACCATATGGAAACTAAATTGCCAAGTGCAGTGACCCAAGCCAATCGCAATCTTTTTCTGTATCTGCTCAAGAATTTCAATGCGCAATGACATGAACTATGGATAAATGGAATAAGAGAATGGATAAATTCTCTTATTCCATTTTGCGTAGAAAAAGGTCTACACCTTTTTCAACTGTTGCTGTGCCACCCATGACTTCAGGGCATTCCTGTACTTCTACAACTACACCAATACCTCATCAAGTTACAGAATATAGCAAGCTATTTCAATATCATTGTTCAATAAAGAAACCAATTGACTGTGATGTAAAGATACCATGGAGGATATATATGGCATAGTTTGAAATAATTTTCAAAGTGATTGGATAGAATATTGGACAGCAAACTATTCATATTACTGTTCATTTAAAAGGTCCAGCTTTAATACATTAACCTTAATACGATGGGTATCTTTTACTGCACATGACACATTTTAGTGTCTTACATTCACAATTTTATTAAACTACTTATTGTTTATGTTATCCCAATTACTGTAGCATAAAATCTTAGCTAATAATCCATATTTTGATAGTATAAAAGTTTTAAGTTTTTAATTCTACAAGGCAACATTAAAAATAATCCTGAATTTCCCCTAGTATGACACACATGACACATTTTCTCTAGGTATTTTATTTTCTCTATTTTATTCATCACCCAATAAGTATGAAATTCAACATAAATTACTCACTATAAAATCATCATTGTTCAAACAAACTATAATTTTTATAGCCTTCAACTTTGTTTGGTTACAGTGCTATCAAATAGAAAATCACACCCCTCTTGTCACACCCACCCGTCACATCCTCCCTTTTGGGACTTGTTAATAGTTCTCTCTTATGTTTAATTATATATTACCTATAACCAATAGAAAGCCAAGGATTTCATTTATTAAATGATGTTTTATATTACATTGTGTTCTGAACAGATAATCGTCAATTTCACTTGTAATACAGGCTTCGTTTTCACTGGAAAGGTAAGGACTAGCTTAGATGAACTTGTAATGGCTCTTTTCACATAGTTAGAAAGCTAGAAAAATTTTGATTGTTAGAGGAAATTGTCTGCTTTTTGCATGTTATTATTCTATGTTCTTTGTGCATTATTTAATTAAATAAAAATTATTTAATGCACTACTGCCATTAGTATAAAAAGTAGGTTTAAGTGTCATTGATAGTCGACAGCAAAAAAAAAAGAATACTCAGGTGAGTACTTTATTTCTTGTTTCTCATGTTTATTCTTTATTTATTATTATAAAATAACTAAAATGTAGAAATAGAGATCTCTTTAGATTAGTTAAGGTTAGATTAGGTAAATAAACAATAATAATATAATAAAAATATTTCACGAGGCATGCGTGTGAGCAGCTTGGAGTAGCTCGTGGGTTATGTAAATCAATAGTGTAATGTGAGCTGCATGTTACCCAAGTGATTTACAACTATAATGGCATGAATAGTAGTTAGACATGGTTCAAGGGGCAATATAACAATAAATTTAATTATAAATAGATGTACACTGTTATGAGTGTAAAGCTACTTAGGATTAATGAATGTAGTTTCATGCTACATTTGAAATCATTCTAGCAAAAAAAGGGTTTTTTTGTTGTTGTTGTTGTTACAAAGTTAGTCAAATTGACCAACCTTGTATAGTTATGGTAGAGAAAACAACAGATAAAGTATAAAGTTTTACTGAAAATAAACATTTGAAATGTAATTAGGAGGTTTTAGAGATTACAAGAATGAAATTTGAGATGAAGAAAAGTATTTTTAATATTAACATGAAAATCACTTTGCACATGGACTATTCAAAACAAATACTTGATTTATTCAAGGACAAATCTTTCTTTTTAGTTTATTAAAAATATTTCACAAAAAATATGATTTTTTGTATGTGAAAGGCTTATAATGTTTAATGAAAGACTGCCAAATTTCGTGAAGATATACACACTATATCAAAAGTTGTTAGTATCATATCTATAAAGACTTTATATGAGTATAAAAAAGGTCACGTAGTCGGTCAAATTGACCGAGCCTGTGTGGAGAGAGTTAAGCAACCTTCCAGGTATTAGTGGCTGCCTTATCAAATTTAGTGTGTTACATCAGAAGGAAGCTTCTAAAGCAAAGTTTAGGACCAGAGTAAGAAGGAAAGACAAGATCTTAGCTGAAATTGTTGGATTTGTGAAAGCCTTGCCCAGTTTTATCAAGATGTTACAAGTGAAATGACTGAGTTGTTGGCACGTGACTAATTCATAAATGTCTTAGTGGATGAGGATATGTGAATTAGTTTAAAACAAAGTAGGTGTACATCTAAGGGAAGATTGCTCAATTGGCGATGAACATTAAATCAATTAAAGTCACAGATAAGCAATTAAGACAGGAATTATAGATTGTCAGATCAAATAGTGTAGAAATGTCAACTCCCTCTGATGGAAATCTAGAAGAACTGAAATGTTTAATAGGGCAACTGTTAACATACAGTAAACCAGAGAACCAGAAGATTTATCAATTGCAATGTAATAAAATATATTGCCAGGAACTACAAAGAAAAGCCTTTATGAAAAGGAAACAGCTATAAGTGTTGAAAACATAGACATTATACTTGAGACTGTGATGAACTGGCCACTGATAGTGAACCAAGGAGACTATCCTGAAAATAAGAATATTTCATTTGCTCCATTTAAGATAAGGAGTGCAATATTTATAAAAACAAATTCACAAGTCAATAAATTTATTTATGGAAAGCCTCATAAATTGTTGAATGACACTCGCTCTGCACCTACCATTGTTTAACCTGATCTGGTAATGAAAGCTGGAAAATTGTCTCCAGGAGTAAAGCAATATAATCAATTGAAGTGAACAGTAAATATTCATAAAATTGTAGCAAGAGGATAGTTGGAAGTTACCCTCATAGTGGAAAGCTTCTGTACAAAATGTATGTGAATAATTGACATTGAGAATAGACTGTGTGTGTGTGTGGAAACACAGATGTGAGGTTAGACCCGCTTCAAACAGTTTCAGTCTATGAACATGAAATCCCTCTGCACTACATGACAATTAAAACCACCAGAAAATGATATATCAATGACAAAAAGGATAGAAGCACAAGACAATAAAGACAACTAACCTAAAATACCAGAAAGACAGGTGATCCAAACCAATGGTCGTCTGTTGTCATCTGTGGAAGTACTGTGGCAGGAGAATGGTTAACTGGTTAGTTTGCAGAAGACTTCACCAGTGGTAAGTCAGGCTGCTGGAGAGCCTGAGATTCCTGTTGAGATAGTTTATAGTGTATCACCATTGCATTCACTTAACACATTTGCTGCTGTAACAGTTTTAACCCATGTGTTAAACCACATTCATTACTGCTAAAATTAAAAACTTTAGCTACAGTTTGAAACTATCACGTGGCATAAAGATATTGACAGATAGAATAGCCAACACTGGATCGTTTGGCCAGTAATCCTCTATCAGTGGTTTATTCCAATGCCCATGATGAAAAGAACCTCAAGAAATTTTCTCATTTTAGATGCATCAGTTGCAGATTACTGATGCATTCTGCCTTTAAACTTTAGGCTGTTCAATTCCAAGAACTGTTAAGCAAACCAATTTGTTTCAGTGAAGGGAACTTCCCCAGTGACAAGATAGGAAGATAATAAAGGACCTGGGGACATCCCATCTTTGTACCATAAGCCATACAAATGAAAACAATACCAAAAGTTTTTGTAACTGAAAATTTAAGGATTTTGCCTGTTAACTAAAAATAACACATATTTTAGTTGTGTTGATTATTATAATCTTTAGATTTATCAATAATAATGTTTCCAATTGTTAAAAGTTATTGTATAGTTAATTATGAATGTTTAATGTGCCAATGTTTCTTTGTGTAATAGGATTTTTCAAGGAACTTCACAGTCTAGGGATAAAGCAGTATTGTAGACTATGTTTTTGATCTAGATATTTTTGGAAATCTGTTTTTTAGCAGAAGGGAGTTTAAGGCCATGCCCATCAAATTATATTATCTATATAGATAAAATAAGAGTTTTGTCTGTACATTGCTTAGAATAGTGTACTTTTTGCATATCATCACGTTTCATACACCAGAGAAGCCGAAACAAGCCTTATCTCAATTTCTGTCTGTCGGTAACGCTCGCGGACGTGTTTTTGTTTGCTTTTCACGAGAAAACGAGTGCACCGTTTTCTATGAAACTTTTTTTTCTTTGTTTTATAGATGTGTAAGAAGTTTATAGGCTACTTGAAACTATCATATGCCTTTTTG